AACTATTTCGGTGTGGTGGAGTGCCGATCTGCGAGTGCGCTGAATGATTGGTCTGGCGGATGGGTGGACATTGAGTTGGTAACAGATGAAGTTTGGATCAATGCCTGGCATGTCGTAGGGTGTCCAGGCGAACACTTCGATGTTAGAGGTTAAGAATTCCAAAACTTCTAATCTCCCAGTGCTGGACAACGACGATCCGAGCAAAAAGAATTTATCCAGGTTCTTTTCATCTATTCTTACTTCTACCAAGTCTTCTACCGCTTTTTGGTCAGCTGCTTTGCCGACATCTGCGAACAGTTCATTGCTCTCAGGTTCTTACACCGAATGAACATATCCCTTGGCAGCGCGGCTGCCATTAACCGTGACAAAGCATTTCTTGGACATAATTTGATCTCCAAAGACCTCTTCAATTACCCCGGTTTCGTTGGGGAATCGCATTACTTGATGGTAGGACGAAGCTACTGCTCGTATGGCATGCAACCATGTTCTTCCCAAGCCGACTGGCCATTCTGGCATTGAGTTGAATCTGATCAGGGGGGATACAGTTGGGGCCAGGTCTTTATCCTTCAATTTTAGTTGTTTGAAGGTGTCGTAGTACATGATCTCACATGAGCTACCTTGGTCTATCAAAATTCGCTTGACGTCGTAGTCCTTGATGCGGAGGGTGACGACCAGTGCATCGTTGTGAGAGCAATATATTCTTTCCAAGTCCTTGTCTGAAAAAGACATGACGTTCATGGCCTCTGTTCTCCCCTTTTTGGTGGTAGGTTGGGCGTTTAGTACCTCTCTTAAGTGCTCAACCTTCTTTATCATGCCCCTGAGCTCGCATACGCGCTCAGGTTCGAATACTCCATGAATAACGTTGATCACGCCTTGAGGTGGGGGGTCGATTGGCATACCGTTCGGGTGATCGTCATTCTAGGGGGCTAGCTGCGCCCCTCCTTCAATGTATTTGTCCAGGTGACCGGCTGCCACCAACTACTCTAAATGCTGTCTCAATGGTGTACAATTTTCAGTGCGGTGCTCTTTTTCTTTATGAAAGGTGCACCGCGATCTTTCGTCGTAGTCCTTCTGAGCTTCTCCTAGCTCGGCAGGCCATCCGACGAAAGGTTCATCGCGTATCTCGCTTAGGATTTGGTAGATTGGTTTTTTGAATACCGTGGTAATGGCAGTGCGGATTCTCAACCATCTTTTATCTTGGTCTTCTTCGTTGTCCCGTCTGCCTCGTCCGTTTTTGTTCGGACGTTCTACCGCGTTAACCTTTGCCGCGGTCTTTTTATCTGGTACTATGGTCGTGCTAGACTTTGATTTAGCACGAGTGCCATCTTCTTCTACCCGAATGTGTTGGTGCACTCTCTCCATTAAGGCCTCCATTGTGAGAGGTGGTCTCATAATGATTGAGTCCCTTAGTTTGTTCCTGACTGGAAGGCCTCTTTTGTACTGTGCGATGACGAGATTGGTGGGGCAGTCCCCAATCTGGTTGAAGGTCTCCCAGTAGCGGCTATTGTAGGATTTTAATGACTCTTTTTCGCCCATATCGATGGAGAGCAGTTGATCAATTTCTACCGGGGTTTTGGTGTTCGTTCTGAACCTAGTAACGAATGCCTCCGCCAATTGTGCCCAGGAGGCTATGTTGCCTTCTGGAAGTTTTTCGAACCAAGTCAAGCCTAGGTCACCAAGGCTTGATGGGAAGAGGATGCACATTAAGCTTCGTTCCGTCGGTATACTGCCATAACCTGACGAAAGTGGCTTAGGTGCATATAAGGGTCTGTCTTCCCTTCGTACGTGGTAAATTTTGGCTGGATGAAGCCTGAGGGTAATGGTGCGTTCTCAATTACCGGAACAAACAACAAGCAATGGAGTCTTGCCAACGCTTTATCTGTTGGTTCGTAGGCAAGGTGCGGTATTGGCATCCCAACCTCAACGTTTCCATGCATCCGAGGGGCCAACCGTTGAAGGGCTGAAACCCTTTGTGGATCGCGTGTCCTAGCATTTTCCTTCTGTCACGCCCTTTCTTCAAGCACAGTCCGTAAGTCGGACGATCTAGGCAGCTCCGTTTGCCTGGATGATGTATGGTGCGTGTGTGAGGGCCGATAGGTACTTCCCTCTGTGTAAGACCTTAATGATCTCGTTCTCTCAGACCTGGAGTGACGAGTTCTGGAAGTCCTTGATTGAGTGTCGCTCGTCCTGAGGCTTCTACTCTCTGCTTACGATGTCGTGGTATGCCTACTACAATCTTCTGAGTGTCGAGGAGGCACATTGCCTTTGCGCCCGTCTCTTGTCGCCACCCTTTTTCCCTTGATCTGGCACTTCATGGCCTCCATGTCGGCCGCCATCTTCCTTATCAATTCATATTGCTCCTTCACGCGGTCCTCCAGAACTTGAGGATCAATCCTCCTCCTTTGTCTGTCAGGACTTTGTGAACGAGAGTGACGAGGGCTGTTAGTCCGCCTCCTCCCCCTTGCATCCCTCTTGGGATTCTGTCGCTGTGGCTCCAAGTCCGCCATGGGAGGGATAGAAGGTAGGTCTTCGCGCCTTGCACCCCCCTCCGGTGTTTGTCCGTCGATGGCAGACTGCGGCAAATCTTCGTTGTGCGCCATTGCTTCTAAAGAGAAAAAGCTTGATCAAGAGGTTTTGTTCTAGTCTGAACTTCTCACAGACGGTGACAATTGTACGGGCACGAAATATTCTTCCCGTATAATCCTGTTGATCAAGTTTGCGTTTCTCCGTACATCGTCGCTTTACTCCCTGAAAATACAAACGTGAGCTAGCCGGCGGGTGTGTGCCGGATACCTCTCCGATGCCTAAGTCAGCAAGATAGACAACTAGACAAAAAACTCTGTATATTCGGGAATCAAAGTTGGGTTACCTCTCCATAGGTGATGTTATGAGCTTTTATAGGTTCCGTGTGGCACAATCCTAATAGGACTTTTACTCTTCCATGTAGAGTCCTCCCAAGAATACATTCCTGAAAGATAATGCTTATCCTTTAACACCCTCCTCACTGCTTGAACTAAGTGAGATGGTTTTACCATGGTCGAACTCCAATATGACCGAGGTATGCATGGCTATGCTGAGCTGCAGAGTAGACTGAACTATAGCTAGTTTGGTTCTTCCCTTCACTGCTCTTACCCTGGTTCCTTCTGCACAAACCTTGGCGTGATTAGACCGAGATAACAAAACATCAAGGTCCTGACCGAGCTAACAAATAGCTAGGTTCTGATCGGGCTATCCATAATATGCCATGACCGGGCTAACTCTGAGTATGGCAACCGGGCTAATCGCCACGCTTCTTTAGACCGGAATAACTTCAAGGCTCTTTTGGATCGGGATAATAATAAGACGTTCTCCGGACCGGGCTAACTCCAACCTCCGTTTTATCCAGCCCTTCTTACTGTGGCTCAATGAACGACCCATTACCTTGCTCGGCCCAATTTATATATAAATTACCCTCTCATTATCAATATTATACTTTTTAAGTATAGGTAGATTACATGAATCTCAAAAGTTATTAAAAAAAAAACTTAAAATATTAAAAATATTTACTAAAAAAAAACAAAAAAAATAAAAATAATTCATAAAATCAGTCTAAATCAAACCAGACTATTAAATGAATTATCACAATTAAAAAGGAAATATTTTTAATCCCAATTAGGAAAATTTACTGATAAATCCTATATGGAGAAATACTGATCCATTTAATTCTAAGATTTTATTTATTTAAGTGAGTGTCCTTTTATAATTTATTTTTCTAATTTTTTAATATGTTTTTGGGATGAAAATGAAAAGGTGACGCGTGAAAGATTCTTTTTAGGGGGATTGGTGGTTGCAGTGTTGGTTGTCGAGTGTGGAAATCAATATTTATGTTAGTGTAGTTTTCTAGTATTACATTGGAGTGTTATATTAGAGTACTACGTGTGGAAGAAGTACAGTAATGAGTTTTTTTGTGTTATATTGATTGGAGTGTTACGTTTGAAAAAAATACACTAAGGAGTTTTTTTTGGAATATTACGTAGTTATATTTGAAAAAATTACATTAAAGAGTTTTGTAGTGTGTTATATTGAAGTGTTATGTTTGGAAAAAGTATACTCTGAAGGTTTTTTTAGTGTTGTTCATTTGAAAAAAATACATTAATAAATTTATTTAGAATGTTATGTTGTTACGTTTGAGATAATTATACTAACAAGTTTCTGTTAGTGTGTTGCATTAGAATGTTACGTTTTTTGGATTGTTTGTGTTATGTTTGAAAAAAATCGCTTATTTTCATTTTTCAAAAAACACTTTTCAGAAAATTCCACTTTCTTATTTTTCATATTTTTTTGTTTTTACTGAATTTTTAAAAATATTTTAAGTAATTTTTTTTTACTTTTTAGACACACCTAACATAAATATACCTAAAAAGTAAAAAAATTGTAAAAAAAATCTTTTAAAAATTCACTAAATACAAAAAAAATACAAGAATTCAGTACATTTTTTTTTTATATTTTTATGTATTTATTAATTTTTTAAAATATTTTTTCACAAACTTTTTACTTTTTAAATACATCTAAGTAAGGTACATTTAAAAAAGTAAAAAAAATGTTTAAAATTTAAAAAATATTCACTAAAAACAAAAAAAAATACAAAAACCAAAAAAGTCAATTTTAAAAAAAACTTAATACAGAAAACTCAAACTAAACACGTTAATAATTTTTTTTTAAGTATTATATTTAGTAATTTCGGCACAAGGGCATATATTTTACCCTTTATGTAATTTATATAAGAATAGAATCTTTAGACTCATAAAAAAAAAAAAAAAAAAATTAAATAAATAATTCATAAAATTATTATTTGAAATTTATTAATACCAAAAAAAAAAAAAAACTTTAACTGTAGAGTCCCTTGTTTGACGCGTAATTGACTGTACACCAAATCTCCACCATCCACTCACGTTTGGTGTACAGTAAATTTTCTTGAGGAAAGCTTCAATAAGGAAAGCTTCAACAGTTATATATAAATAGGACTCCTTTTAAGGAAAGCTTCAATAGTTATATATGAATAGGACTCCTTTTAAGGAAAACACAGTCGGTTCTTTGCTTCCTTCTTCAGAACAACCGTTATACTAATTACCCATTACTCCACAACCACGATTTAGGGTTTTTCTCTCTCACACCAGGTCTCTCTCTCTATAGATATCTATTTCTGTTTATATATATAATATCGTGATTTGTTTCTGATTGGTACTGGGTCAGATTGGGTTTTTGTTGTTGGGTGCATATTTTGATTTTGTGTTGTTTGGATTGATGGAAAAATCGGATCTCGCTGAGAATTGTTGGGAGGAGTTGAGGAAGAAAATGGGTTTGGAAAAGGGATGTGGGTTGAATGTGAAGCGTGATAATGAAGGATTAGGGTTAGGGTTTGTTCGGTACACGAGGTCGATGAGTGGGAAGAGGATTGCTTTATCGAGCAATATGGAGGTTGATTCCACGGTGACAACACCCAGAATGAAGAAACCACGCAGTGAGAAAATGTTGAGTTTTGACAAGTCTCTGCTTGAAGCCCTGCCTCAGGACATTCTGGTTAGTACCAAATATTTGATTAATTCAACCTAGAAATCTGTTTATGTAACTGGGTTTTGTGGGCAATGTGTTCATATAATTGGGTTTTGTGATTGAACAGTGTTTCTGAGTTCAATTTGGTTTTTTTTTTTTTTGTTGCAGATTAGGATATTGTGCAATGTTGATCATGATGATCTCAAGCAGCTTTTCCATGTATCAAAACCAATCAGAGAAGCAGTAATTTTCGATTGTTTTCGCTTTTTCTCGTTTTGTCTTGTTGTGGTGATTATTGACTGTGATTTGTGTTTGTTCTGTGAATTGACAGACTTTAATTGCGAAACAATGGCATTTTGCATATACCACGCCCACAACAAATTTAGCTTTTCCGAATTCTATTGCTTTGGGAGATGCTGGAGACATTGAAGAGGTTGAGGCAACGAATGCTCTTGAACGGTTTCGAAATCAACGGTCACGATTGAACAGGAAGAAGTTGACCGACATCTCAGTGGCTTTGTTTGCTTCATCGGACGAAGATCAGTGGCCAAGGAAAGATTTATTGATGGAAATGGAAGCAGAAATATGAGATTTTTGAGTTATTGATTGATGAGAAGTGTAGTCATTGTTGGTACTAATAGTAGTAAATGTAGTCATTGTTGGTACTAATAGTAGTAAATGTAGTTGATTGAGTTGAGAATTGAGATCTGATGAGCAGATAGAGAGATCTCTTTTTGATTTTGTATGTTGTTTACAATATTTACATTACAAGCCATTTTCTTCAACCCTTTCATTGAAGATGCGTTGGCTTGTTTGTAAACGGACAAGGATACCTGCTCTGCTCAGCAGGACGGCATATTGCTTTTATTTTATTTTATTATTTATTTTTTATGAGCGGCTGTAAAGTTAGTTTTGTGGTACATTTTGTATATAGAAAATTGGAAAATGACTGGTAGTTCGAAAAAAGTGGCCCAATTTTGGATCGAATCGCAAAACGGTCGTTTTGTGATTCTTTTTTTTTTTTTTTTTAGGAGAGGAGAGGAGAGGAGAGGAGAGGAGAGGAGAGGAGAGGAGAGGAGAGGAGAGGAGAGGAGAGGAGAGGAGAGGAGAGGAGAGGAGAGGAGAGGAGAGGAGAGGAGAGGAGAGGAGAGGAGAGGAGAGAAGGGCCCCTCCTGTGCCTCCGCCGCCGCCGATCGTCGCAGCATCTCTGATCGTTGCAGCAGCTCCGATCGTTTTAGCCCCGCGTAGCCCCGCCTCCGGCCCTGCCTCCTCCAGCCAGATTTTGATGGCCCCCTCCCCTCCAGTTCTCTTTCTTCCTCCTCCTTCCTCCTCCTCCTTTTTCTTCTCCGAATTCGAGCCAAATTGGAGTCTCCGAATTCGAGCTACGAATCGGAGTCGTAGAAATTAATGGCTAAGATTGAGCTACATCATTTAAAGTGACTTACTTTTTATAGTCATAACGATATCTCATAATCGACTCCATTTTGTTTATAACTAACTAGCATGTCACCCATGCTATGAACGAGATAAAATAATATATTATTTAGATAATTATTTTAATTTTTTTATATTTTATTTTTCGTAAATAAAATTTTATACATAAGTTTTAAGAGTTTTATTTAAATATTCCTTTATTATAATATATAGTATAGATAAATTAAAATTATTATATTGACGACTAATAATTAAAATTATGCTTTGTTATAAAAAAAAATGACATAATTCTAATACTTCACTATTTTAGAATAAAAATGTATGAATTTTAAAAAATTATTATATTAGTTTTTGAAAGGGAAATAATTAAAGAAATTTGAAAAACTTAATGAGTAAAAAAGAATTATTGTAACATGCAATTTAAAATATCAAAAAATAAAAAATAAAAAATAAAAAAAATGAATAAAGACATTAAGAAGATGTGATTACAATTAAAAATAATGTCATATTTATTAATAAGTATAATTTTATTTGGATATCTATTTATACTTTAACATGCTTATTTAAAACAAAAATAAAAATAAATGAAAATATTAATAATTTGGAGTTTTAAAATATGTTTTTGTAGACTTGCTATATTAACTTTTGGAAGGAATATATTGAAATATTTTTACAAAAATTGAATATCAGTCATTGAACAAATCTTATAAGATTTATAATAGAAAGAAATTAATGATATTGCAACATATGCATTTTAACAATTTTAAATTTTGAAAAAAATAAATAAATTAGGCCTTTGAATTTCAATTATCGTACAACATTTATATAAAATAATAATAATAATAATAATAATAATAATAATAATAATAATAATAATAGATAGATTAAAATTAATTACAAATATAGCTATATTTAAAAGGATATGGTTTTTATAGCTAAATTTTAAATTCTAAAATTTATTTTTTAACTTTCTATATAAAAAGATTCAAAATTTTAAATTACATATGATTTTTTTCTAAAAACATATGAACTCACAGTGGAGTAAAGAAAGAAGTATCATAAAGGAAGAGATGAGCTGCACATATTAAAGATAAATAATTAAATAATTGACTAATACCTTTAATAATTTTGAAAAAAATGGATTAAAATTAAAATTTTCTTTTTATAGATTTGAAAGACTATTATATACCTTTGAAGTAATGCTGTGCACTAATTGTCAATTAACACATATCATGATATCAAAAAAACATATTAAAGTATTTTTTTTTAAAAAAAAGTAATGATATACAAATATAAAATCATACAAAAACTTATTAATAACGATTTTGTTTGGATTTTGACATATTTTTTATTATACAAATGGCCTATCACGCCATTTTAGACCTCGTTTGGCAACAAGCCAGTTTAGACAAAAAGTCAAAAAGTTACTAAAAAAGTCAAAAAGCCAACAATCCATACCAAAAAGTCAAAGATTCTCTTTTCTCTCTACTTTTTGCACATCTTTTCGTAAAAAACTAAAAAGTCATCCCAAACATACTAATTTTTTTTAGCTCATATTTTAGCCAAATAGTCAAAAAGCTACTAAATTAACCTATTCCCAAACGAGGCCTTAGTATAAAAATTCTAGTAAAACAATATTAACTAACAAAAAATAGATAATGATTGGTAGAGAGGAGCGAGAAATGACTAAAAAAAATAGTCATAGATTAAAAAAAACAAAGAAGAAGAAGAAATGGTGTACCTAAAAGATAAAAGAGTCTGTTTAAAAAATACAATAGATTAAACATAAACTAATCTCTAAATTGTTACATAAAAAGAAAGTTAAAAAATAATGATTTTCATTGTTCCATGAGTGTAATATTTATAGGGTGAAGAAGACATGAATGACTTGGAAAAATTATAATGTATGATGGCAAGGATTTTTGGATAGAAGAAAAAATTGGTTAGAAAAAGAGTGCACAAGAATAATATTTTTTTTTCATCTTTCCTTTTCTAAATTATAAATCATGGAATCATTATAAAAAAAAATAAAAAAAATTATGAGATTTTAAAAAAAATTTATATATAGCATATAGATATGCTTAAATTTATTTGAGAATAAAATTGTGTTTAATTATGGAAGAGAGAAAGAATCTTGATATAAGGTGGTGTGTTTGGTAACGTTTACGTTTTCAGTTTATATTTGATAGCTAGGATTTTTGGATAGAAGAAAGAATTGGTTAGAGAAAGAATACACAAAATAATTTTTTTTCATCTTTCCTTTTCTAAATTATAAATCATGGAATCATTATAAAAAACATAAAAATAAATTATGAGATTTTAAAAAAAAATTATATATAGCATAGATATGCTTAAATTTATTTGAGAATAAAATTGTGTTTAATTATGGAAGAGAGAAAGAATCTTGATATAAGGTTTAATTTTTATTTTATATTAGGTTTAATTTTATGTTTATATAGACCAGACCAGTTGTGAAAACTTTTAATCGTATATATTTTATGAGAGGTGAGAGAGTTTCCTTTTCATTAGATTTATATATTCTTTTTAAATAAAAGCTCGATTTATTTTGAGGAGTGGGAGGTTGAGAATTGTGTTTTTATTTTATTTTATTCTATTTTTTTCGGCAATATATTTGTATTAAATAATTTTGAAGGTTAATATTTATGTCATTGGAATATCAAATAGATGTTTTAATTTTTTTTATTATATAAAAAACAAAATTAAAAAAATTATATTTAAGGTTTTGAAATACTTAGGACATCTAAGATGAAAAGCCACTTTGATATAATATATATTATAGATAGATGATGAGATTTAAGAAAAAGATAAATATTAGGGGAGAGATTTTTGGAACTTGTTATTATTATTTTTTAAATCTATAGTTACTTTGTTAGCCAATAATATTATTTTTAAATATTTTTAAAATTACAAAAATTAACAATTTTAGTTTTTTTTTAATCTATAGTTACTTTGTTAGCCAATAGTACTATTTTTAAATATTTTAACAATTGTGGTTTTACGTTTTTTTTTTAATCTATAATTTTTTTTTCTGTGTAAAATATATAATTATTTTGTTATGAGATGAGATTTGTGTGTGTGTGTGTGTGTGTGTTTTTTTTTTTAATGTATAATGTATTTTTAATGTATAGTTACTTTATTATGAGATGAGATTTAGAAAAGAGAGAAATATTGGGAGGGGATATTTTAGAAACTTGTAATTCAAAATTTTAGGTGTTTTTTTTATTTATTTTTTATTTTTTTAATCTATAATTCTTTGTTAGCTAATAAAATTGTTTTTAAAATTACAAAAATTAGTAATTGTGAAATGAGGCTTTGGAGCTCTCACAAGCCTTCCCACTGGCAAGGACTTTTTCAGGTTTTTTTGACTATTTTAGCCACAAAAAACAAAATAGGCTATTTTAGCCATAACAAACAAAACATCACATCCAACCTATAATCATTACATTCTTCTCTCACAAAAAAAGTCAAAAAAGCCAAAAAGCCAAAAAGCCCTTCCCAAACCAAGCTTTTTAGCCCAGGCTAAAATAGCCAAAAAAGCCAAAAAGCCAAAAAGCCAACCCACTTCCCAAACGGAGGCTAAAAACTCCAATTTCGTTATATAATACTAGCATATCACCCGTGCTATGCACGAATTATATTTACAATTATCTATATACGTGAATTGCGATTTTTAATTGTCTTTTTTTTTTAAATGCCTTCTTTTTTTTCCTTTTTATATTATATTAAAGTTTAATATTTTGATAATAATCAAATGTGTTAGACTTTTCAAGGAATTAAATGTCTTTTTTTTTTTAATTATATTATATTAAAGTTTAATATTTTGATAATAATCATATGTGTTGGACTTTTCAAGAATTTTTTTTTATGCTTTTTCTTAATGCATTAAAGTGTTATTATGAGGAATAATAATCATATGTGTTGGACTTTTCAAGAATTTTTTTTTATGCTTTTTCTTAATGCATTAAAGTTTTTTTTTTATGTTTGTTCTTAATGCATTAAAGTGTTATTATAAGGGTAAGATTTGGGGGTTAGGAGAAATTAATAAATGCGAAAGTTTTTTTTTTTTTTAAATTAAAAAATCAGAAAATTTAAATTGGGAGATTGGAGCTCCCACAAGGTTTGGAGTTAAAAATCTCTTTTTGCTTAATATATAGTATAGATACTAGCATAATTACCCGTGCTAGGCACGGGTA